AGTATTATTTTATATATATATATATATATATATAATTATAATGATAAATTTTTATAATGATTAAATATTATTTTATGAAAGAAATGCACCTAACTTAAATACAATCAAAATAATTGAAACAGGAAGTTACGTCGCAACGTTTTATATAAGCGTGACTCATGAGAAGAGTTTAAAAAATGCAAATGTGACAAGCAATATAACTTCATGTTCAATATCGTGGTTATGAGACGTATCGTCACTACATTGTCAGCGTTTCTCTAATTTCCATATGCAATAAAAAATTCTAGTAGAAAAAAATTAATTGAAACTGTTGATAAATTCTCTGGGAAGAGAAAAATCAAATCGATTTGATTAACGAAAGCAGTCAAATTTCTTTCAAATTTCACTTAAAAGTATTATCCTTTCTTCAATATTTGAAAATCCTAAATACGAACGGGAAAGTATATATAAAAGAGATGATATTTGCAAAAAACATGAATCTTTTGCTTGAAAACTGAATACAAATGATTCAATTTCTTACGCATCGTTTCGATCGTCGTGTGAAAAGAGAGGAAATGTTCTTGGCTCAGATGAAATTCAAAAACGAAAGATCCATGGCGCCAAAGGCTAGACGACAACGAGAAATACAGAATACAAAAAAAAATCAAAAAGCGAAAACATACTTCCTCGTATATCCTCCGTTTTTTTTATTTTTTTGGAAATATAGTAATAACCGAAAGCAAACTATACGTGGAAACATAAAAGACCAGTAGAGCGTGATACGCGTAGCATTCTGGCGGAAAGTCTTCCTCTCTGTTTCCTCTGTGAAGTTGACTACTAGCCAGAGGCGTCGCCACCTTTCTTTGTATGTAGTTATTTCTCGTTGGCCAACATGGAAACTTCCAAATATTATTCATCGCTATAATGAAGATAATTATGCTTGGAATTTAATACGTAGAAATTACCTACGTCAGGCGAACATGTTTAATTAACGAAGCGATAATAATGAATGGAAATGTATATGTACGTTTAATATATGTTTAATAATAACGTTGTGACGAATATATATGCAATTTGTCTTTCATAATAATATTTCCATTATATTTTCGTTGTTGAATCAATAAGACTTAAACTGTATATATCTGTATATAAATATTTTGTCGATGATTTTTTAAAGATTTCATTTTTTCTTTCGTCATTTTGATAATCGTTACTTACCGATAGAAGAATAGTATACCAATTAAATCATGTTTCGAGTAACGAATAACTGCAGTTATCAACGAATTTTAACGAATAATTGTCCGGTGAATGGACTTTTCAATGCATCTTTTTTTTTTTATTGTTGAAAAAAAAGGAGGTGAAAACAACAAGAAAGCCCAGTGAAGAATGCTTTACAGAAACGATTAACGATTCTGGCTCAACGACCTGTAGCGCCGTGCATTGTTGCTTGAAATTACCGACCGCCAATTGTGAAGTCCGTTCCTAACTGACAATTGCTCCACTTGCTTTAAACCATTAGTCCTCGCCAGTTATCTTGTTGGTAATACACTACAGTGAACATCATCGTCGTAACTGGTTAAACTAAATCTCGACAGCGGTAGCGACGATTTCTCTCCTTTTCTCTAACACTATTCATTCGTAATTTATATATGTATATATTATATGTGATAAGAAAGTTTAAATGATTATTGCGAGATCTTTTATCCATTAAATACATGTTAGTATTATTTAATGTTTACAAGTTTAATATTTGATCAAATTAAGGAAGTCACACATATTTTATTAAGGTTTTGAAGATATTGTGTACAACTACATCTATGTTATATCACAGATACGTATATGTTTTGAAAATATAATTTCTATTAGATATAAATTAGATATAAATTAGATATAAATTCAAAATAAATTAACATTAAGTTATTGAACTTTCTTCAAATTAAAAAATTAAATTTTTTTTTATGAATTAAATCTATTTTCAAATAAAGAAATTTAGAATTTTAGAATTTTAAAATTTTTTAGAACGAACTAATGCAATGACAATAATACATTACAGTGATACATTTCAAGAATTTATAAATTTTATATTAAATGAAAAGAAATTAATTAATCATTATTAAATGAAAATTTTTATTAAAATATCCATTATTCATAATATATCATTAAAAATTCTCTTCTCATGTGATTTCCTTTATCAAATTAATTGTTATGAGGATCATTCGTGATTAGCACTGGACTTCCCAATGATGCTATACGGTCATTGATCTGACCGAATTAATTAGAGGTTATCTATAATATATATATATATGCATATACATATATGGAACTTTATTCTCTTCTCATCGGTCAAAATATAAAATATTGTTTCACACATTGTGTAAAAAATTATGAATATAATATAAAAAATAAAAAAAATAATTTATAATTAATTATAAACTATACTATAATTCATATTTTTATAACACAAAAATTCGAATATAATTCTTACAATTATTTTCGTGTTTACAGATATCTTGTATTTAAGATGTTAGGGCTACTTTTATTAGTAGCCATTCTTGGTACATCAACATTTGCCTACAATGGCGAACTGGTAGAACAAGAATGTCCCATGGACTGTCATTGTCATTATTTCCGTGTCAATTGGGTGACCGACTGTTCTGAAAGCAACTTGACGAGCATCCCGATTGACGAGCTTAGTCCAAATGTCTACGTTCTAGATATGAATGGTAACAACATCGCACAAGTCGCTCCATTTCCACATTCGATCAAGCTAAGACGTCTTCAGATGGCACATAATCGATTGACCGAACTCAAGTATAAGTCGTTCGCCGGATTAACTTATTTATTGGAAGCGGATTTTTCCTCAAATGCTATCACTCATGTTGATCCCGAGACGTTTAGGTAAGAGAAATTTTCAGATTCATTCTTCATAGATATCTTATTCCTATACATGCACATGTAAATAAGAGTCATTGCACTGTTTATTTATATAATAAAAAAAGTAGAGATAATGTAGAAAAAGTAAAATGTAAAAGTAGAGATTTGTAAAAATAATTTACATTTTTTATTTTTATACTTTTATGTAGCAAAACTTTGAGTTTTTAAATTGATTAGATTAATTAATTTAAGAAAATCTGTTTGGAGTATTACAAAATTAAAATTAGAGCAAATTGAATTTTTAATTGTATATTTTAACAAAATCTATCTAATATTTTTATAAATCTATATAATATTTTTATTTAAAATAAAACATTTTAGAAAAATAATTGTGTTAATTAATTAAAAAATAATATATAATTATAAATTATAAATATATTAATATATAAATATATAAATATTTAATTTTGACAATTTTTTATCATTTTAACAATGATTGTTGAAAATGTGATC